TGTAAGAGCCTCTTATTTATTTGTTGATTGACTATTTATTACTACCAGAATATTATAATCAGCATGAGGACAGACACTTCACCCATCACATTAGATGCTTGGGAGCATCTGATTTATAAAAGATACTCAGTAAATATTTTTGCAATGAACAAACAAATGAATGAATGGACCGTGCTCTGTCTAAAGTTCATTACCATCCACAAAAATCAACCAAAGGAAGTAATGGTAGCCAACATAAAGGAAAAGAAAGCAAAATCCAATTAACTCCTACGTTATTCTCTGTAAAATATAAAAATATGAAGAATCTACATTAGGAAAGTACTAAGTATTAGATCAAAACAGATAATACTTAAAGTTATATCAAAGCAAACTGTTCAGTAAGGATGAAACTTACAAGCTTAAATCCATCATGACAGTAGAATGAAAATGGGTACAGTCTTTTTTGTGGGATAAAAATTAACTCTGAAGCAAGTTTACTTATAAATTCTAAGTTAATTTTAGCAAACAGAAAAGGCAAATCAACACTTCACAATGTAGCCTGGTCTTGCTGGGGTTTTGTATGTTTTTGAGCTTTGCAGTAGAAGATACACTGAGGAACAAAAAGAGGTCTCTCATTTTTGTCCCATTATGAAAAAGTTAACTCTCACACCAGGTCCTGGACCCAGCATTTCCAATCACAACAGCTTCCTACAGCTTAATAAATGCAGAATTCTCTTTGTAGCAGGCCATGTCTGGTCTTTCTTTAGACTTGGTGCTCAAGGATGATGCCTAGGAAGAGATGAGGAGGGATGGAAGCCCGGGGCTTTTGACTTCACTGTAAGTCTAAGTTTGACCATTTCCATGGTTTGAATATGGTTCATTTCTACCATGGCTTATGTTGAGGTTTGGCTCCCAATGGGTGGTGTTGGACAGTGGTGCTTTAAGAGATGATTAGGTCATTAAGATGGAGTGAGGTCTTTCTCGGGAGTCTGGGTTAGTTATCCCGGGACTGGATCAGTTTCCACAAGAGCAGGGTGTTATAAAGAGAGGTTGCCTCTCATGTTTTGCCCTTTTTACACACATACCCTGTTGTCCTCCTGTCTTAGCATTATCATCAGATTATAGGCAGGAAATAGAAAAGGCAAGGAAACAAATAACCATAAAAATTTTTTTTGTGAAGCTGCTCAAACTTCAAATATATTTAGTTCCAGAACAAAAAAACACTGTGGGTCTAGTAAGGTAGTAATTGCAGAGCAATAATGAAAAGGTCTCAGATTTACTGAGGAAGCTTCATCTCGGGTAAATGGGAACTTCTAAGTTCCTATTTTTTTTTTTTTTTTTTACGAAAAAAAAAAAAAAAAAATCAGATCAAAGGGCCTCTGAAATTCCTACCTGTCCCAATACTAAATTAAGCCTTTTATTACCTTAACATAAATGTTTATCTTCTTTATTTCAGACATAACCTTCCTAGTTAGTGAAAATGAATACAACAATTTGGTGCAGGTGACTCTGTTGTAATCATTTGAAACAATCATGTAACTCTTAGTATTTTGTTTTTAAAGCTCTTTATATAGAAAGTAAAAAAGAAGTATAGTCATGCACCACATAACAATGTTTCACTCAATGACCGTAGTCCTATAAAATTATAATACTGTATTTTACTGTACCTTTTCTATGTTTAGATATGTTTTGATACACAAATACTACCATTGTGTTGCAACTGCCTACAGTATTTAGTACCATAACATGCTGTATAGGTTTGTAGCCTAGGAGCCATAGGCTATACCACATAGCCTAGGTGTGTAGTAGGCTGTACCATCTAGGTTTGTGTAAGTATACTCTGTGATATTTGTGCAATAACCAAATCACCCAATGGTGTATTTCTCAGAACATATCCCTGTCATTAAGCAACACATGACTGTAATTGTTTATTGGGCACTCTCTATGTGCCAAGAGTGGTGCTATTTCATTCAATTAAAAAAAAAACTCTATGAAATGTATATCTACATTTCACAGAGAGGAAACTGAGGTTCACAGAAATTAAGCTTAAAAGCCATGGCACTCTCATAATGTATGAAATAAAACTCCTTTGGCACTAAGTCTTAAGTTTCTTATCCATGCCAGTTTTTCAATGTCTAGTAATAGGAGCCTTAGTATCTTGTGTCCTAGTAGTGTGGCTGGCATTCAGAAGTCACTGTGATGTTCAACAATATGTACTTTTCCCTGTTGAAATTTACATTTATCTCCATTGCCACCATTCTAAACTCCAGCAGTGGCTGCAACTCGAAATCTTATTCTTAGGTTCTGCTTCTTTCCTATGAAGGTGACTCAGGTCATTAAGCAGATGAATCATTAGATGAGGAAGGAAGCAAGTCCCAAACAGAATTCATGGAATTGAGGTCAGTAGCCATACATGGCTCTAGTTTGCAATGAAGATTCTAATGCATTTCAATTCAATTTTTAATGGATTTTTATTCTATTTCTACCTTCTGAATAAAAAATGTCCTTTGCCAAGAAACAATTTTACCTTCAGTTCCTCCTGCAAAGTGGAAATAGTATTGATATATAAAATATTATGAAATCTCAGGGAAACCAAGTACCTTAGAAACTTCTGGGAAAGTTCATATATCTAAGATGTTGACAGAAACCATACTGCTAATTATTTTTTAAAATCCATTTACCTAACTATTATTTAAGGTTTCTTGAAATGGTCCCTAATTATTTCTTCTTTTATTGAAACCCGGTCTGCGTCCTTAAGAACAGGATTGTAGATGTTCCTTTTAAAAATAATATATATGTAGAGATTAAGACACAAAAGAACAAAAGAGGCAAAAAGAATGAAAACAGCTAAATAAATAAACAAGTCAACCATTACAAAATGGATGGCTAAAAATAGTCAATAAAATCTCAAAGATAGGATGCATATTAAATAAAAACAGTTTACTTCTTACATTTAAGTATTGAAAATAAAGCATTACTGATTAGAGCAAACAGCATAAAGTTTAGCAATAAAACATTGTGACCACCTTTCTGACTCCAGGAGTTAAACATCAGAACTGAAAAGGGAACTTCAGTTTCTGGCCAAGAAGCAGAGACTGGATTTACCCTTATGCCTTAAACAACCAGAAACACAGACAAATAAATGAAACAATGGTTTTCAGACATTGAACAACAGGTAGCACAGGACAGTGATCCCTTAGAGAAGGAAAACAAATGAGATGAGCTTTATGATCGCACCAGCTTTCTGACTGGGAGGTCATTTCCAGACCAAAACTCAAAGAGATGGAACCAAAATAGAGCCCAAAGGAAGTTCTTGCTGAGTTGGGAAGACAGAGATCAGACTTTGGGGAAGTCAAGGCACCTAGAACATGTGGGGCAGGGTACCAGATAGAAAGGGTTAACACACAAACAGAACTCCAGAGACCTGGGGAGGTGTCATTGGCTGCATTCTCATCTCCCCATGTGTGAAATGAGCCTTCCCAAAGCCAGAAAACACACTGCAAGCAAAGAGTAGCCTGACCAGAGAAATAACATCTGTCTGTGCTTTGAGACCCATTTGCTAAACTAAAAATCAGACCATTTCCCAATTATACCTGGGGAATTATACCAATTAAGTGCCCTGATCACTTAATCCAGTCAACATACGACTCAGATCAATGTCCACCATGTACCCTCAGTCCAGGCACAATAACTGCCTATTCCACACCTTAGGATATATTTTGCATGGCTCAAGACATTTACACATTTCTGGAAAAGCTGACCTGTAGCAGGGGAGGGGAAGGAGGAACTCCTGTACCCATACTTTGGGCCCATACGGGGACACAGTGAAACTCCTGAAGCCTAATGAACACCATCATTACCTGATGAATGGCTTGGAGTTAAGTAAAGACATTTAGTAGCTACAGTTGTTATTGTTAGTTTTTCAAAGGGGAGAATTATTTGTCCTAATGCCCTCAACTTTTTGGCTCTTGCTGGGAGACCTCAGATTATTTCTAATCTCAGTTGTGCCTGGTCCCGTAGCAACCATCACAAGCCCCGCATCTCTTTCCAGATTCAGGCTGTCTTCTGGAAAGAACATTCCCCAAACCCAAACTTACCAAATCAACACTTTTAAACACACCTACAGTAGGGCAGAACAAGGGTTTAAACAGAAATAAAATAATTTTACCACATTCCACCTATTTTATTGTTCTTTCAATTGAAGGTCTTAGAGTTTCAAGGAGATTGCAGATATGGAAGATGAAAAACTTGGTTTAACGCATTTGCAAAATCTTTTTTGTCTCTGTCTGTCAAAAAAGCCCTGCTTTCATCTCTTTCTAGTCAACATCTGTTCCATGATCTGCTCTGTCATCTCCCCTTTGTTTTCCAGCTCTGTCCTCTCCTACACTTTCTCACCGCATCCTCTCTCTGTTTCTCAGGGTCCACCTCTGTCTTCGTGCCCACCCAACCTAAGATCACACTAATGAGTTTACCAAAAGCTCTCACAAAAATGACCCTGCTAGCACACTGTTTAAGGGGACGGGGTTTGGGACCCATACAATTGGATTTAAATTATCACCTTTTACTTGGAGTTTTGCTTGGGGAGCTACCAGGGTCATAAATGAAGGGAAATTCTGATACTTTACTTTTTTCTAGAAAGAAAAAGAGATAGGATAGACTCAAGTCTCAAGAACTGAAGAGAAGAAGACCCTCCATGAAGATGCTAGGATATGAAAAGCCTTGGGAACCAAAGCTCTCTTTTTTATTTTGTGCCTTCCCTCTCCTCTCCTCAGAAATGCATAAACAGAAAGCTTTGGCATCTTTAAGTCTTCAGGCTCAGAATATGGCCTTACTTTTGGATGAGCAACACTGTGTTCGTTCAGAATCACTGTTGACCAAAATTCAATAGATCCTTTTAAGCCATAACATAATGCGGCACAACATCAGAAGCAGGAAAAGAAAATCTTGCAACTTAGTTTTTCACAGCTTGTGGAAACTGTGAAAAAGCTTGTTACACTGAGGAAGAAATAGACTTTACTCACCTGCAGGAGTCTAGTTGGCTGATTAAGGTTTGTCCCTTTTGCAAAGCATCAGCTGTGCAGTCTTTAATTTCTCTGTGTAATTCCGCGTGCCTCACTGCCAAGACGGGCAGACTTAAACCCTCTGATTTAAGGAGCTTAAGGTAAGCTTCGACTCTTCCAAGTACATCAAATGCCTGCCAAAGAAAACATACTTTCATTTTCTGCTTTTCTAGTTTAAAATCTACATCAATGTGCACACGAAACACTAGCGATTAAACCAGGCCACCATTCAATTTATTAGTTTGATCATAACCAAAAGACAACAATCTTAGTCTTGGAAAACAGCTGTATAGTTTTAAGGCTCCATTTAGAGAAACTGATCATAGCTTAGTTCAGCATAAATAAATGTCAGCAACATAAAATTACCAAAATAGTCTGCATTGAGAATGTATCTATACAACACAAACAGTTATAACTACATAGAATTTGGAAAGTCTGGTTTATTTTTTGTACATTTTATACTGTATACAAATAATAGATGAGCTATTTTTAAAATGTTATGCTGCCTTTTATGACCTGAATGTCTCTGTAATATTCTTAAAAGGAAATGTCCCAATAAATTCTACTCTGAACCTGAAACACTATATGGAAATACACAAGAAATTACTAATGTGCTTTTCTCTCTTGCCTTTTCAAATATAAGACCTTCAGCCTACTCCATCCAAGGCATCCATCTATCTTCCCATGAGATTAGAATTTGGTTCCGAAGCAGTGCAAAGAGTAAGACCAAAGTAATATTTAGCTTCTGACATGCACAATAGGATTATGCAGAAAAAAACATAGCCTTGCAAACCAAGATATTATCTTGAGAGAAGATTTTTCAATTCATTTAGTTTCCTCCTTTATTAGCAGATCAACAACCCAGCATGCCAGATTAAGCTTATAGAATTAACATAAAGCAGAGAGGAGCTATCCATTTGGCCATTAAGGCTTAGTTGGCATTAAGGAGGAGGAGGATGTGACATAAAGGCAATAAAAGAGGACTGTGGCAATACGAGGAAAAAGAGGGAAAGCTGAGTGCAGTGGTCTTTGTAAGTCTCCTAATATCTCACTTCTGAATTTTGGCCTAGAGAGCAGATGAGTGAGGTAAGTTGAAGAAAAGCTGAACTGCAAGGGAGCTCTTCTCATGATGCCCTTTGGCGCTATTGGGAAAAGTCACCTTATGGGATGTTCCATATCAATCTGGAGAACAGTCCTATCACAGGAAAGTTGGCCGTGCTGCCTAGCCAGGTTGGGGCCTTGAAGTCTAGCCTTTCTGGGTGCTGAGTTGGAAGCCAGTGAGCTTAGCAGGAGCTGACCAGAGAGTAGTAGGAAGACCTCACAGAAGATTCTGGGGGAGAATCCCAGACTGTGAGAAATAAGAACAGATGGGCTTATGACTTTGATACTGCTGAGGCCTGAGGGAGGCCGGGGGAGCAGGGCTGAGCTGATGCTGAGGTAACACGGTGCAGCCAGGTGTAGAGGCCACTGTTACGGAGGTGTGTAAGTGCACTTGGGTCCCTTCTACCTTAGGGAATGAGTTTTAGAGGCAGATTTGGAACTGGACAAAGTTGGAATTCACGAATGAAATCTCTCAAACACTGTCTTATTACTTACATGTTGGTCTTCTGTTCTCTCACCAACGTCCTCATGTCTCCCAAGTTTGCTCTTTCTATTTACTTAGAATGTTTAACAAAATCACTCTCACTTATTTAGCAGTTGAGAGGAAGTATTTAATAGCAATAATAGTAACTACAGTTTAATGAGGGCTGACTATGTGCTTGCTTCTATACTGTGTGTTGCAAAATTCTTATTCAGTCGACAAATACTATCGAATGCCTGCTGACATCCAGGCACACTGTCCCTAATAGTCGTGGGAAGGAGCAAGAAATGATCCCCACTGTATAACTGAGAAAACTGAGTTTCAGAGAGGTTAAGTAAATTGCACAAAGTGACATTTTTACTAAGTGGCAGATTTGGGGTTTACGACCAATTTGTCTGGCCCTCAGTTCTGTGCTCTTAAACCCTGGGCTACGGAGCCATGTGGCAAAGGATTACCATGGGAGTCCTAAGAAAGAAGGGCTATTTCAGAGAAGGCTGTAATCTTGAATAGAGAAGGTGAGATTTTAAAATTTTACTTTTTGTAAATAAGTGTCTGCTTTTCCTTCTCATAGGTGAGAAGAGATACAGAGAAAGGTAGAGAGATTTCTCTTGTACTACTGGACTGTAAAAGAAGGGGAGCCCTATTAAAGTAACTTTGAACTTGAAGAACTCTTCCTTATCTGATCTTTTTCTGTCCTGTAGTTGGCAACAGAGTCAAATGAGACAAGACGCTTATGTTAGAAAAGATGAGTTGATGACTTTCTTGATCCTTTCATAACTCATTGAAACATCACTTGGCGATAACCACTGTTTCTGGAATTTTGTTTCATATTTTAAAATTTTTATTGCTTATTTTGAATGAAGCAGAGTCTCTTGTTAATTGAGGGTTAGTCAATGCCTAAAGCAAAAATTCAATGTAGTCAAAATTACCTTTAATGTCTTAAATCACTCTTAAAGTTTAATACATGTGAATCAGTGCTTAGAGTAATACATATTCACATTTAGAATTGAAAACCCATAAGCTGCACTAAAGGAAGAAATAAAGGGAAAAATCTATATGTAAATGTCAAGACGTTCTCTCCTTTCTTCCTCTTAGACAATTCTCAAATTCCTAGTGTGAATGGGGAAAGGATGGAGAATTGCAAAGTGCTTTTTGTTGCCTACAAGTTTAATTCCATTCTGTTTTAGTATTCAGTCATTATAACCTTAATACATGTCATGTTTCTTGTTTTGAGAATTAAAGAAGAAAAAGTATATGAAAGTAATGATGGCGGACATGTAGAAGCACTCAGAAAATATTTGCTGGCTATTATTTTAAATCTTGATTGATGGAACACATCTTTAAAAGTCACTGAGAAGAGCATGGCCACCTGCTGCCTGTCATTCATCCCACATGGGCCCTGCAGAGCAGCTGCCACTCTCATATCCTCAGGCACTGGTCGAATCTTTATTGGAGTTAAATGCTAACACCACAAGGTCATTAAACGCATGTGTGATTTCACTCCACCTCTTCCTGAATGTTGTAATAGAAGTTTTATTTTCTAAGAGAATGGAAATTGATTGGAGGGCTGAACATTCACTAGCCGGAGGAGACAATTTATCAAGGACAAAGATAACCCATAGCTTTGAATCAAAATATCCAAATTTTCTTCCAGCGCTTTCTCTCAAAATGATCAAAGTGTTAGGAAAACATTTACTTATGAATTGCTCTACGTATCCACTTAATAGAACTACAGCAGTAGAAAGGAGGTAAGTGATTTCATCCCTTCCTTCACTCAACAAGCACATTTGTAGAATACCTGTAAGTGAGGTGGGCTAGATGCTGTAAGAGAGCTCATTCCCTAACCTTAATCCCAAATGAACCCTCATGGAAATAATCTGTAGATGCAGAAATAAGAGTTAAACTTCTGGACCTCTTTAAAAGGGAGCCTCTTTCAAGAAGATTAGATTATCTGTGATTGTCTGAATCATATGCAAAACTCATTTCTCATATTCCCATGTAGAATTTGATGAGAAATCCATGTGCCAATTCCAGAAATGATCTAAGTATCATTGCTCTCACTTAATCTACCCCCAAAATAGAATTGAGTGCTTTCCTATTTACCATATCCATAAGGAACCTGATATACTGGATGCAGCCTGGAAAGAATCTCTTGGTTGCACACACAGTACAAAACAGGTTATTTCTGGCAATAAGAACACTGCGATCCCCTTATAAACTCCTTCGGAATTAATGTTTCACCTTTAGTTGTTTTTTCCTTCACATCCCACTCTTTCTTCAAACTTTGACTGTGCAGGTCAAATAAATCTATTATGACTGGATTGGGAAAAAAGGATATAGGCACAGGATAATATTGTATCCCTCTGGATTCTAGCTTTGCTTGACTATTTTATATGTTATTACTCAGTTTTTAGGCAGATAAGGAGGAGATGAATCAGTTCTTTTTGGTCCTGTTTTGAAAAAGACTAAGGAGTTGCTTGCTTTTTGTTCTTTAAGATGCTAATAGAGACTTTTCCTTTTTCCCTTGTTAAGTACAGGATCCAAGGCAGGCTGCACCAAATCAAATAGAGATGGTATCAGACATGGCACATTTTATTCTTTTTAAAATATCTATGAGACTAATAGTTTAAGCAAGAACCACGAGTCATCCAACATAATTCTTATATCATGCTGTTTCACAAGGATGTTTAGTAAGTAATATCCTTTGTTTCTTGACCAATTAATTTAAAGAGAATCAACACTAAACAACAACAACAAAACAAAACAAAACAAAACTGCAGAACCTTGAAAATTTCCTTTCCTGAGTCTAGAGGCTGGAGAATGAGTTTGGTTGGAAACTTTGTAATTACCAAGACACAAAACCCAACTCAGCTTCTAATTAGAGCACTGTATTCCACTAGCTATGGAGACTGGAACTTCCCTTAGGTTCAGTGTTTATAAAGACCAAAAGCTTCAGTTTTTCTTCCTAAACATCACCTGAGATAAATTCTGGTGGCTCCCACTGTGGGGAGCTGATTCTTAATTCAGGTCCCTCCCAAATCTGCCCAAGCTATCAAATGCCATGAAGTCCCGGGCATAAGGGTGATGTGCCTTTCAAGCTCCCAATATTTGCTGCTGCTCACGGCTGCTCCTTGGACCCCAGAACTAACCTCCTTGTTCCAGCGCAGATTCGTGGTGTTAATGAGAAGTATTTAAAGCCATTAGCTCCTAAGGCAGGTTTTGGCCTCACAATTTGAAAAGCTAAAAAAACACTGGAAAAGAAGGAGTTTAGGATTGAAAGTGGCATGTATCTGAAGCATTTTATCAACACGGAAAGGAGGAGTTTATGTATTGACTGTCTCTTACTTATTCCTAGGCAGATCCACCTTAGAAATACAACTAGGCCCATTAGATAGAACTTTAGGTAGCTAGTCACTATTTATAATTTCTAGTTTCTTTTATCTAAATTGACTTAAATGATTTTAGGATGATCTTGGGAATATTAATATGGAAAATATCCACTTACAATGTGTAAAGCATTTATTTTTTCACTTATTCAAAAAATATTTATTG